TCTTTCGGCTCATCGTTATCTTGTTGTTTTGGACCATTAGGCTGCTTTGGTTCTTCATTCTTTGGTTGTTCTTTCGGCTCGTCGTTCTTTGGCTTTTCCTCGGGTTGTTTAGGTTCTTCATTCTTTGGCTGCTCTTTAGGCTCGTCATTCTTTGGCTGCTCTTTAGGTTCGTCATTCTTTGGCTGCTCTTTCGGCTCATCGTTCTTTGGCTGCTCTTTAGGCTCGTCATTCTTTGGCTGCTCTTTCGGCTCATCGTTCTTTGGCTGCTCTTTAGGTTCGTCATTCTTTGGCTGCTCTTTAGGTTCGTCATTCTTTGGCTTTTCCTCGGGTTGTTTAGGTTCGTCATTCTTTGGCTGCTCTTTAGGTTCATCGTTCTTTGGTTGATCATTTGGCTCATTATTTTTCGGTTCTCCCGGATCCTGTCGTTTTTGAATGGAAATTTCGCGTTCTTGTTGAATTGGCGATGTCAAACAGCAAGTAGTGATCAACACTGCGGCCAATATTAAAATCGCAAATATATGCCATTTCTTAATTCGTGTTGGCATTGTTTGTTGAAATAATTTTATTCTATGATCCCAAGGTTTCTAATTATTATTAATTATTATGATTAATATTTTCTGAAAAATCAAGTGATGAGATTTTTTTTTTTAATAAAATAAAGATAAAGAGGAAGAGGAAGAAAAGAAAATGAGACTTTAGAATTTCAAAAGAGAAAAGAAAAGAAAAAGAATAAGGAAAAAAAAATGAAAAAAGGGGGAAAAAATGTTTAATTAAAATGCAGGATATCAACCGTATTTTATGTATTTTGGTAATACAGCAAAAAGTGTTTGAAGGATTCTATATATAAATCATTGTCTTTTTAATTTGGTGAAACAAACAACGCCAAAAAAAAAGCAAAATTTAAACTTAATCTAAAACAAGATAAAGTTAATATAATTCAACAAGTTTTCTACCTGTTATTAATAGATCTAAAATTCCTTTTTCGAAAGTATTTGGGCTGTGTAGATTTTGATTCCTTTTTTGAGATATCGAACGTAACAACCATTTTTTTTTCGGTGAAGGCTCTCTTAATTCTTCATGATCCGGGGAGGATCAAAATGATTAGATTTTGATAATTTTAAACAGATAAGGGGAACTTTTTTCTTTCACATTTTGAAAGTATGAATGATCTTAATGATGATACATTTCAAAGGGTTTGTAACGTGAATTCCTTTTTAACGAATATGTGTTCGGAAAAATAGAAGTATCGAGGGTTTTTTTTTTTCACCGTGATCAACAAACCAAAGAATCGCCTTTTTTGGTATGAAAATGGGCGTAAATGAAATGTGCGGTTTTTTTTCACATTCTGTCAACCAAGACGTTAAAAGCATCAAAAAACATTCGTTAATAAGCATGCAACTAGATTATTATTGTTTATGTAATTATTTTAAAACCAGGAGCATTTGAAATATGCATTGTTTGTCAAACAACTTGGAAAAAGTGATTTTCCTTTTGCCTTTCACCGAGACAATGATATATAAAGGGGACTTTATTTTTATTTTTGACAAAGTTAAAACAAAAAGAGCGCAAATTCTTGGCATTTTACAAATTTAGTCACTTTACCTGTTAGTTAACGAACGATGTATTAGAACAACTTGTTGAGGATTAAGGGTATTAATGAATAACAATTTCTTTAATAGGAATAGCTCTAAATCCATTATATTCCTATAAATACTTTGTAAATTAATTTGTAGAACCGTTTTAATTTCCAAACAGTTTGGTAAACCTAAAACGAGCAAGCAACAATTACACGAACGAACGGGGTAAGGGATAATGATATTTCCCTATTTTAAGGGATCTATAAATCGTTTCTTTTTACTTATGACGATATAACGATCAGAAATCAATATGGATCTATTTTCTATAATAATGTTATGCATAATGTTAAGGATTCCATAAATAAAATTAATTAGCCTTCCCGGATTATTTTTAGAAAATGATCATTTTTTTTTTATTAAAAGATAAAAAGATAAAAAAAAAGGTGCTAATAATTAAAAAAAAAAAACTTTTTTCTATATATATATATAAAAGTCTCCTTAAGATCTGAGCGATAAACGGATTTACAAAGTATCATCATATTTCTCCGCTCGATAATTTGAAAGGGGAGTTTCCCCTTTAGTCGGTTTCTAATAATGGAATAAATCGTCGTGGCGCAGCTAACACCAAAACTGTGCCCTATTCCTCAATGTATTAAAAAAAAATTGATCGTTCTATACTAAATAAAGTAAGTGATTATTTACAATTATCATATAACTTTTAGTCGAATCAAAATGATTAAGTGATTATTAACCTTTTCCCGAAAAGTCATCTAAGTTTAGATCAAAAATTCATCAATCCAACACTTTTTAGTTCGGGATTTTTTTATTTTTTTTTGGGAGGATGCCACATGCTAATTGATTTAAATTGCCAATTGTGTCCAAATGTTTGTTGTTAAGCATCCAATTAAATTTGGCCGTCAAATCTTTAAAATTACTCCATATAATATAATCTGTTTAAATTACCGACTTTAAAACATTCATTTATATGCCCGGTCATAAATTTTAGTAGATTAGAATATATAAATGAATCATGCTATTTTATAAATAATATAGCAAAATGTGACTTCAAAAGCCTGATGAAATAAATAATGTGACGCATCCCTTACCAGTGACAGAGGACAATTTTCTTGACGACTTTTTTGACGTCTGAAAGTGAAGTTGACTTGTTTTTTTTTGTAACCTTTACGTAATAATAATTGGTCAACACGTTCATGTCTTTTTGTGTAAATATTTAGAATGCAAGAAAGGATATTCTTTGTTGGCACGGATGAATAAAATGTGAAACATACTCTAAATAGATCTTGTACCAAAGCCTCCAAACAAATTTTGGCTCTTATTAAGATTAGCTTAGCGTTATATCTTGTAATAAGTAAATAATAGTACTTGATTTGAACATTAAATATATCAATTAATACTATCCCCTTAATGGTTTTGCAGGCAAATTTGCCTGCAATTTTGAAAATTAATAATTGATCGCCAAAAAAAAGGATCATTTGACATCTGAGCCAATCGTTTATTAATATAAATTACTTATTTTTGTCAAGATCTATTAATCTATTAATAATATTTGAATATTTAATCATAAATATTTTTTTATTTTGATAGTGACTCAGGCTCAAAT